AAATCCAGGGCTTACAGGCCCCCTGTCGGTTCAGGCCAAAAGCCTGAAGTCCAGGGCCTATCCCTGGTCGTTTCAGACTAAAAATGGCAACAGCCTTTTTAGCCTGAAACGAAGGGCCATTTTCGGTCGTTCATCAGAAGGACCGGCCCTGAAACTCAGGCACCGAACCAGGGTTTCGGAAACAGACTATTATTAGTCTGTTTCCCACGCCAGCCTCAAGCAGGCTGCTGCACGCCAGCCCCTGGCACGTTGCGGCAGTGGCAAGAGCTGCCTCCTCGGCCTGACTCCCCTCCAGTAGTCAGGAGGCAGGCCGAGGTAGTACATAGGACTTCCCAGGCACTTCTGAGGTAGGCAGTTCGGCAGTTGTAGTCTTCAGGATTCGGGAGCAGCACTCTGGAGGGAGCGCTGCAGTGTAGAGTAGTAGCGTTAGCTTGTAGTCTTCAGCGCTGGGCGCAGTAGGTAGCTATAGTCTCCAGCGCTGGGCACCATAGCTAGTTAGTACTAGAGAGAGAGAGAGAGAGAGAGCTTGGGCGGAGGCCAGAGGTACCTACCTGCAGCGTCGTTGCTCCAGCTTCGTCTTCGAGGTACCTGCAGCACAGCGCCAACATCACAGGTTAGTACTTGGTTCGCAACAGAGAGAGAGAGAGAGTTCTTCTTCTTCTTCTTCTCAGTCCACCATCTCTTCTCTCCCTCTCACTTCTGACTTCACTGCATCTTCAGACTATAAAAGAAGAGATACAGAGTTTGGTGACATTTGATCCAGACTCGACTTTCGGGGATTAAGACATGGCAACGAGGGACTATTTGGGATTGGTGACCAAGACTTGGTGTTAACGACATTCCCATCTTHTTCCCTCCTTTCGTCTGTCCCTTATCTCTTCGTCTGTGTATGTCTGGACCTGGCGCTTTCTTCCTGTGTGCAGCGCCAGGCTCCTTCACACTTCGTGATGGATACAATGCATGTTAGTCTGAGTTCAAACATTGATTGGGCTAGTTAGAGGTACTCTAGCATTCTGCTTCGTTACTCTGAACTACGTGAATGAGGTMAGTCCTGTCAGGTCAGTCTTTGTATCAAAGTCTTCCCTGCGCTCTTCAGCATCTTTATGTATGAATGAGAATGTACATTGTTTGTCGAGATTCTACTCGTACCGCATTGTCTATTCAGTCCTTTTCATCACATTGCAGATTCTCGGTTTATTACGTACATTGCATATCTGTGCATATAACAGTTGGTATCGGAGCATTTGCACGTGAATCAGGACTATCTGATCTGACACGTGTGCGGGGATCAAGAAAGCTAGTTAGTCTTTTCTGTTGATTAGGACATACTAGTTAGACCCCAAAATCACGATCTTGACCTTACTACAAAAAAAAAAAATTGAAATTTCTTCTTTTCTCGGATTTTATTTTCTGCTATATCGCAACATCTGAAATTCCTATTTTCGTTTTTCTTTCTCAAAATTCAAAATTTCGTTGTTAAAAATCCGGAATATATTTCTTTTTTAAAGTTTCGATTTTCTGTTGCATTTCCCGTACTTAGAACTTCGGAATATCTTCTTGTCTGAAATTCGTTTTTCTTAAAACGGTACGGGAAATACCTCCTGCACGTATTTTTTTTTTTTTCAAAACTGCGAATATTCCCATCGGAATAAATCCGAATAGTTGTCATTTCTGTTCGGACTTTTTTCGCAGTTCTTGGATTCTGTCAGTTGGTTCTATAAATCGGTTGCAGTCTAAAGTCGAAAAAAAAAATTTCGCTTTCAGAGATCATTTCGTACTTCAAGGGAGATTGGGAGACCTACCGAACTTGCGAAAATCAGGATTTTTATTTTTTTAGTTTCTCGATTTTTTTTTTTTTTTTTTTTTGCAAAGTTCAAACTTTTCTAGTTTGATTAGTGGCTCCTTATCTAAGTGTGAGTGGGGCGATTATCCCACCCACCCCTCCCCACCTACATTGTTGCCATCTCTCGCCTTGCCGTTTCTGGTTGTCTCCGGGTACCCCTTGTGACGGCATTGGTAAGTTGCCACGTCAGCAGGCTACGTCAGCAGACCACATCAGCAGGACACGTCAGCAGGCTACGTAAGTACGTCAGTAGACCACGTCAGCAGGACACGTCAGCAGGACACGTCAGCATTGCCATGTCAGCAGCGAGGGATACCACATCAGCAGACACCGGTCTGGTCTATGCTGTTGTGCTCACAAACAGCAGTCATGGACCAGAAGGCCGGGGAAACAGATGAGGCCTATCAGGCCCGCATGTTAGCCTGGAGTACCGAGACAAAGAAGCGGGCAGATGACGCTGCCGCGACATCCAAGAAAAGGTCAGAGGATGCCGAACAGGCACGTCTGCTGGCCATGCAACAACAGCGCCAGCACGACGAGGCAGCAGCAAGGACTGCTGATGAAGAAAGAACACAGCGTCGTAAGAAGATATTCACCGGAGAGCGGGCGTTACTTACCATGGTAGCAGAATGGCGAAGCGAGGCCGAGAACAGCCAGTTGGAGGACAACGCAAACAAGATAGCTCTCCTCCTCTCGCATCTCACGGATCTCCTGGCAACCTGCATTACACAGCAGGCGGAGATCCTTGGTCTCGACAACTCAGTAGCTAACCTCCAAGACCGCCTTCAGCGGGTGGAGCAGCGACCAGTCGCCGTCGCCGACGCATGCTCTTCCAATACTGCCGACCGCCTCACCGCATTGGAGATGCACGTCGGCTCCCTCCAAGACGGCGCACAGTTACAGCAGACCGCGACGCAACAATTGCAGCAGCGGATCTGCACTACMGCCACCACCTCGAGTCCGGAGCCGCGCGAGACAGCTCCTAAGTTCGATGGGCAAGAGATCGTCCACGACTCAATCAAGACAGATCCAATTCCATGGTTTCGCATGTTTGAGCTCACGTTGCAGCTCCACAACTTCAAGGAAAACAAGCACCACGCYTACTTGTACTCTCGCTCAGGGGGCGCGTGTCAGGCGTGGTTGGACAACTTGTTGTCCAAGTACGAAGTGGTAGCAGCGGACTTGCACACCATGCTGATCAGCTGGGATGATCTGAAGGCGGCGTGGCACAAGCGGTTCCAGGTGGAGCCGCCAGAGATCAACGCCATGGACAAGCTTATGGTCTTCGAGCAAGGCTCGCTGCCGAGTACGGACTGGATCGCCGAGTACCAACGCTTGACGTCATTCCCAGACATCCAGATGGGCTTCAAGGCCATCCGCCACTATTTCATCTCAAGGTCATGTCCGACATTGAGCAATGCCCTAACGCATGTCGAGGACACCTTGACGATGACGGCGGAACTATTCGACAAGGCTGCGCAGATCATCGTTACGAACAAGGAGTCCAAGAACCTCCGTTCTTCTGCGTCAGGCCCGAGCGAGAACCAGCATCGGCCACGAGTGGCTGTGGTCGCAGCGGCAGCGCCGTTAGACCAAACCAGCGAGGCTGCGTCTGCCAGTGTTCGCAGCCGCCCGGGAAGGTGGCCGCGCCGGCAGAGGCCAAGGGCGCGGCAAGCCGAAGACACACACCGTTTCTAGCCCCGGGCCCGGTGCAGCAGCTCAGACAGGCCCATGGACCCCGTATGGCCTCTCCGAGTCCACATACAAGGCGCGCGAGAGATTCCATTATTGCCTGTGGTGCAACAGCGATCTTCATCTGACGCCGGTTTGCCCACTGAAGGGCAAGGGTCGATAGGGAAACTGAGCACCGCCGAGAGTGATGCGACAACACTCTCGACGCCTTCGGAACTGGTTTCTTCGCGAGTAACCAGCCTTCATTCCGAGGCGCACGCGGAAGTCGACAGTCCTCCGCTTCTATTTTCTTTTGAGGACTATGCTGCCCGGCTCGTTCCAACGCTGGGTACTCAAGCTCAAGGACAAGGAGTGTGTGCGGTTTCTTCTCCGTCCGGCAACAGCGACATATCGTCTTCAAGTGGTTCGTCATGGGATTCAGCGCGCGAGTTCAAGATAGAGGTTTTGGACCCGCTCACGTCTTAGGACTTTGCATGGCTTCCTCTCCCGACCACAGGTTGTCTGCCGGGACCGCAATGCGCAGCACTTAGCGCTCATCTCCACACTTACCTTTCCTTCTATGCACCACCAACTTTGCCGACGGATGACGAAGTCGCGGTGGGGGACATCCTGGCGTACGTTACCAAGGTGGCCCGCGAGTTTCACATGCAGCGGTACGATAACAACAATGCACCGCTCAGGTATGTCCGCATCCAGGTTGGGCAAGCGTCCTGCAGCACTTTGCTGGATAGCGGCGCGACTCGCAACTTCATGAGTCAGTCTTTTATGCAAAGAGTTGGCCTTGGCGCACAAGTTCGGAGAAAGGCAAACCCGACGGCGATCAAGTTGGCGGATGGAAAGACGCAGCAACTACTCGACCGTTACATTCGAGGCCGTACCGGTCTACTTCGCACCTCATGCATGCGAACCGGTGACATTCGATATTCTCGACACGGACTTCGACATCATTCTGGGAATGCCTTGGCTTGCAAGTGCGGATCACATGGTCAACTTCCATCGGCGGACTCTTAGCGTTCGCGACGCCTTCGGCGCGGAAGTGGCATGTACGATTCCTCTACCGCACTCTTCGATCCGGTGCCAAGTGGTGACAGCCAAATCATTCCGGGCGACTTGTGCTTACGAGCAGCCCGAGGAGATCGGCATATGTTTCCTACGGACCGTCGCGGTAGCCGACTCTTCACATACGGACTTGTCTTCGGACCCCCGTGTGGCACGGTTGCTGGACAAGTTCGCCGACATCTTCGAGTCACCTACCGGTGTGGTGCCGGGTCGGCCGGTCTCTCACGAGATCATTCTTGAGGTCGGTGTCGTGCCGCCGAAAGGTTGCATCTATCGGATGAGCGAGGAGGAGCTTGAGGTACTCCGCGCACAACTCGATGACTTGTTGGCCAAGGGCTGGATCCGCCCGAGTAGCTCCCCATATGGAGCACCAGTTCTCTTCGTCAGGAAGAAGAACAAGGATCTACGATTGTGTATCGACTACCGCAAGCTCAACGCGCAAACCGTCAAGAACGTGGGGCCTCTTCCTCGCATCGACGATCTTCTCGAGCGGCTGGGCGGTGCGAAGTATTTTTCCAAGTTGGATTTGAAATCAGGATATCATCAAATCTCGATTCAGCCGAATGATCGCTATGAAACCGCATTCAAGACGCTGTACGGGCATTTTGAGTGGGTGGTCATGCCTTTTGGCCTCACCAACGCCCCGGCGACATTCCAGGCGGCGATAACCAATGAGTTCCGTGCAATGTTGGACCGGTTCGTGCTGGTCTACTTAGACGATATTCTCGTCTACAGCCGGACATTGGAGGATCATCTTGGACATCTTCGACRAGTGTTGGARAYGCTCCGSCGTGCCAAGTACAAGGCCAACCGCGACAAGTGCGAATTTGTCCGGCAAGAGCTGGAATACTTGGGCCATTTTGTCACACCRGAGGGCATCARTCCGCTATCGGACAAGATTCAGGCCGTCCAAGAGTGGYCRGAGCCTCGGAACGTCACRGATGTCCGCTCGTTCCTCGGTCTTACYGGCTACTATCAGCGCTTCATCAAAGGCTACTCCAAGACCGCGGCCCACTTGAACAAGCTTCAGTGCGAGGATCGGCCGTTTGACTTTGGAGAGGAGGCGCGGGGATTATTCCTTGCTCTCAAAGCCGCGCTATTGTCTGCGGAGGTCTTACGGATATACGACCCGCTCGCGCCTACACGTGTCACTACGGATGCGTCAGGCTATGACATTGGTGCAGTCCTCGAGCAACATGATGGTGTGGACTGGCACCCGGTCGAGTACTTCAGCAAGAAAGTGCCACTCGTGCATTCCATTGACGATGCACGCAAGAAGGAGCTCCTCGCCTTCGTCCACGCACTCAAGCGGTGGAGGCACTTCCTCCTTGGTCGAAGCCAATTTTGCTGGGTAACGGACAACAATCCGTTGGTCTTCTACAAGACCCAAGACACCGTCAACAGCACCATCACTCGATGGATGGCTTTCATCGACCAGTTCGACTTCTTTCCCGATCACATTCCCGGGAAATCGAACCTTTGTGCGGATGCTCTTTCACGGCGTCCGGATCACTGTACCGCGGTCTACTCGACTTTCGAGATTGACGATGACCTGCAGAACAGCTTCATCCGCGGTTACCAAGCCGACCGCGAGTTTTGCGACAAGTACGCGAATTGCTCCTCGCCTAATCCGGCTCCTTCTCACTACTGGATCCAGGAGGGGTACTTGCTTGTCCACACGCGGGGGAAGGACCTTCTTTGCGTACCAAGTGATCCTCACTTGCGTACACGGCTTCTTGGCGAGTTCCACGACGCTCCCGCCACCGGACATTTTGGAGTCAATCGCACGATTGGCCGACTTCGCTAGCGATTTTGGTGGCCCGGCCTTCTCGGCGACGTCACGCGCTTTGCGAGTCATGCGAGGTTTGTCGACGCTGCAAATCCCGCAACCATCGTCCGTACGGCGAGCTACTACCATTGCCAATCCCATTGAGGCGAAGGGAAGCGATTGCCATGGACATCACCGGCCCGTTCCCCAAGCACAAGACCGGAGTGGATGGGATTCTCACGGTGGTCAACCGACTCACCAAGTTCGCCATGTTTTTGCCTTGTCGCTATCATGCCAAGGCACCGGAGTTGGCCGAGGTTCTGTACGCCGGTTGGATTCGCACCAAGGGTTACCCCAAGGAGATCGTCTGCGACCGCGACACTCGGTTCATGTCCGATTTTTGGTTGG